AAATGCAGACATTCGTTCAAATCCTTTCGTTGTGAAGGATTCAGTGATTCTCCGTCACCAAGATAATTGCGACTCCTTTAAGTTACGTCCCCTTCTCGCTTGTATCTTCACCTACTGCTCTTCAATAAAGTCAGACTTCCTTCCACGCATGTATAGCCCATGATCGCCATTGCGCTTATTCATCTTGGATTTCTCCACTAAAAAGTGGAATTCCTTTGCAGTCTTGTCTACTGATTGGATTGTGAACTTTTTATTGTGAAAATGGAGGTCTCAACGAGGAACAAGCCGCAGAGGGAGAGTCCACGTCGGTTGGAGCAGAAGATCCTCAAAAGCACTTTATACTTAAAAGTCGTTAAGAGGGGAATGTCGGGTTCGCTTTCCGCTGCCACCAGTGTAGCGCCCCGAGACTTCCTAGCTGGTATAAGAAGCCAGCAAGTGCAGCTGGATACATGTATCCCGAAGACGAAGACTCGAAAGCTAGTCTACGAGTACAAGGACCAGACAAATCCTAAGATGACCGCCAAACACCATGTGGTCACATAAACAAATAACTACATTGCCTGAGGACTCATAGTGGGTCATTGGGATGGTCTATCTTGTACCTCAGGGTTTGTGGGATGCTCCAGAGCGATTGAGCTAGGCCGAGGTGGTATCAAGTCGTCGGGATCAGGCTTGGTCGGCACACCATTGCAGTCACTAGGTTTTGTTTTAGATTCACCACAGGAAATGCGATCAATTTTCCCTCAGATATGGTGTTCTCGATATGGTTTCAAAAGTGAACCAATTATACTTTGTAATCGGAATGATAAACTGCATGAGCAGACCTAAAGTAGGACTTAAATACAAACTTAAAAAAAGTTTAGTTTACAGACCTCAAAAGACATTACAAATGTATTCTTTAGATTTCCCCACTAGTTGGATTTTGGCCCTTTGAAATGTAGAGCTCATTGTGTCCATGCACTTATATGCAATATGCAATTGTTGAATTTGGTAGTATTACTAAAAACACTTAAAAAACAAAATAAAAATACACTTTGTGCATAAACCTTGCGATTTATTTAACGCCTTATCCTCATAACTTGTTTTAGCCCTTCGCTCCAGGTCGCGATCTTATGAAGCGTGTCTCGGCGAGATATAAGCTGTGCTCTGCGTTCACTCTCACTTTTGCTTGCTGTGTTATTTACTTTTATTACATCATATTTTCCTCTATCAGATTTATCTTACAGTTTTCCATATGTGCTTGCTTATGTTTATTATTTATTTTATTACCCAGGCCTCGGAGCATGCCGCAAAAGTTTTGGACTCTGAAGCTGGATTCCCTTCCCATTATTTGATTGCATTGGATGCGATTAAGCGGCGTATGTTGTATAGCTTGCATTATCTATGTATCAGACTGATCTCATTTAGGCCTTTAACGCTTATTCTAGTACGCTCGCATGTTTTTAGCATGCTGTGTTATTTGATTTGACTTTATAACTGAATAAATAAACAGACGGGCTTAATGTAAATGTGTGACCGATCTGTTTGTAATCACTTTTCTTTTCAAGTCACAGCGTCTATTGTTGTCAATGCCTTTTAGCATTTTTGGTACGAATGCCTAGAATTTACACCTATCTGTGCTAGAAAAATTTATTAAGATGGATTCATTTGTATGCTGCAGGGTTCAGCCCTTGTGAAGTATGTTGTGTGCGCCTTGCAGACCAGCGAGATGTCATCGCTGTTACTAAAAAAGACGAGATGACAATGGATATTTTCATACCTTGCAATGCACCGGCAGCTCCTTGTAGCATTTCCTGGACAACTGAGTACCTGGTACAGCGCCTTTTGCCGCCCCCTTCCTTCCACCGCTCTCTTGCTGACGCTGTATCCAGCAGTCTCCATAGACGGCTTGACGAAGGATCTCTAAAGTATGTGCCTGGGAATTTGGATTTTACTACGACTTACTACGATTTTTACTACGATTTACTACGTGTTTAAATTTTATCATCCTCAAGTTTTGTGTAGCGGGGCAACGGGATTTTTGATGTAAAGGTATCCTATGTTCTTTGTAGGTTTCATCTTGTCTTTTTGGATGCTGATTGTCGACCGCTTTTCGTGACGGTACAACGGGGCTTTATGGACGCTGTTGAGTTTGACAGCATAATGTCGAAGCGTCGCCATAAACGAGGTCTCCCCGGTCGTTTGTCCACATCCATCACCAGTGCTAGTCATTCCTCTCTCCTTGGGGACATTTGATCTTCCGACCCCTGGTATCAGTACCGACATTGATAATCCATGGGACTAGCATTATTCTATGAAGAGGGCTTTTCTTTTGCTTCGGAACATGGGACCGGCGGCTGTGACATCTGGTGGGTGTTAATGATGAGATGGTAGTTGGTACGTTTTATAAGTTTGCGCTGAAGGTGCGATTGGGATTTGTTAAGAATGAGTTCCTGCGGATAAGTCTTGAAAGTCATATGAGTTTGTTAGAAAGTGTTCACAAACTGAAATTAAGTTTTTGTTGAATATTTGTTTTAATCTTCCAACTCGTTCTTCAAGCAACCTTAGCTGATGGAGCGTGATAAGTGGGTTGGTTCCGCGTATCGTGTCTGTTCCCTCAAAAGCTCTATTCAAGGAGTTTTTTCTCACACATTTGATAACCTTTCTGATGCTCGACGTTTTTTGTTACTGAATAATGTATCAGTCTTTTCCTTTGCTCTACTCAATCTGTCAAGTGGTGTCCTCGAAAACTCGGATTTTGAATTCGAAGGAAATATTGCTTCATGGCCACGAGCGTTATTTCTCAGTAGTTCCAGACCTTCCGGAACTACTGCAGGATTTTCGATTTATGGCATAATCTCTGACAGCTTGAAGCACCTCACTTCATATGGAAGGTATGCTCTTATTGTAAAAATGTCGGAAAGTAATTCTGCCCATCTATTAGCATTGGATCACGACGGGTCTACGTTGCAATGTATCAGCGAATTTTATTTTTCTGATTTATTTTCTGATTTTAATAGATTCTTGTGGGGAATCCCAAAATTGGTGTTTCAGCGACATTTACTCCCGCGTCACTTCCAACTTGTTCTCACATCTGCCCTTTTTGTTCATGATCTCAAGTCCTTTGCGGAACAAATCTACCTCCATATTTTCTTGGCATTTGCTTATCCTTTCTTTGGTGCAACTCCCTCTCTTTTATCCTATCTGCGAATTGGTAATATATCGGCTACCTTTTTTTGGCACAAAATTATTCACCTTGTTCTACAACGCAATTCTCGCATTTCTTTTCTTTCTGTGCGCACAGAAAATACTGTTCTGCATGAAATTGAGCTTTTTATTCAACAATTTCAGCTCTCTCACATTTGGCAAGTCAATGACTGCCATCCCTTGGAGCTGTTCTTTCGCGATTTAAGTGATTTCAGTAAGTATTAACTTCCAATAACAAGTCCTTCAGATGATACACTAGCTATCGGCGTTTTGAGAACTTGCCTCCTTCCTTACATAAACAATGATGTCGACATTACCAAACTACTGTCGGTTGACTGTCTCACTGAAATTATGCTCTCGATCGGTATCTGTCGGGCATTTGCAGACTATCATCCTCGTGCCGTTGTAGCTATTTTTGAGGATGCAGATCTCGTAAGAAGTGCGCTTTGTTTCTGCGATCGTCTGAATACTCTCTTGGGTGACTCCTTGGTTCAAGGTTGGTGTTCTCGTGCCTTTTCCCTCCATCAGCTCTGCTCAGATCAGATTGGCATTTTTGGTGCTTCTCTGAGGACTAGGTGGAGACTGGACTGGCGCATTGTGAATTATTTTGTGGGACGGTTAGAGCAGCAGCCTTTAGACGATGACGACATTGATGACACTAGTGGCTGTGGTAGAGTACCAAAACTCACCCGATTGGCGTGTCAAGCAGTTCGATTTGCTCTCCGTCTGTACCTTGACGGATTATCGCCACCTAGACCCTCTTTTACGGCTCAAATAGAGGACCTCAAGATCCCACCTGTCGTGAAAAGCATTATCCTCTCCGCGGTAATGGAAGATTGATCTGATCCGCAATCGCACTTCGTTGTTACCCATGTTTTGTCTTAGCGAGAGTTCTCTTTTCTCTGCTCCCGTATTTCATCACCTTGGTATTCTATATTTCGAATGAGACATTTTTTGTTTATGTGATTTTGCTCCCAACATGAATGATGAAGTAGGGGACAATTTGGAGACAACATCCCGATGTGATACCTACAAGACTTTATGCATTATTTGGGGTAACGGTATCGTTGACTAGGCTTATGTAATAATATTTTTCGGAGGTAAAATAACTGGGGTAGTTAGAGTTGGATCACCAGTTAGACATTCTCGCCTATGTGGTATGATTTTCTTGCAATTTTAATATTTACCTTGGACTTTTATACTCCAGACAGGCCTCTATTCACGTTCAACTCAACGCAACTGCCGTAAATAAAAGCGTCATACGAATGAAATTTTGTTACAGGTTCGTTAGCTTCTAGGACTTCTGCCTCCATCCAGTGATCTAAGACCTAGAATTGTTGGGCTCGTCGCGTCCTCAAGAGGGTTTCATGCAATGCCGTGGTTGCTTCATTTGGCTTTTGCTGGGGCTTGCGCCACCAACACAACTGGGGCGAGTTTAGGTAGCAGTGGTTAAGCAGCTCTCAAGTCATGATAAAGTTATAGGTTCATGATTTTGAGCTCAAGTTGCGGTCGTTAATGAGGTGGAATTAAGCAAGTCGAGTGTTGCAAGGGTGAGATAGGTATCTAGCTTGGGGCAATACTGGTGTAGGTGTGGGTGGGTGGTGCACCGACCCGGGAATTCACCAAGTGGGAGAAGGTGTTCATTTGGGTTGAATACATGTGCTTTAGGGAGTTCAGCTGCGATTGGGGTTTGTCTAAACCAAAACGCTAGTCCACGCACACAAGGGCAAAACAACTACCTAAGTGACCATCGGAGGCGCAGTTGGTCGCATAAAAAGTCTTGGAGATGGAGTCTAGGTTTTTCAAAGGCTGCTTTTGTACCATGACTTAACGCAGGAGAGCGGTGCAGGAAAGCGTTGGAATGAGCACTGCTACTTATTTTAATGAAGTGACTTAGATGGCTTGGGGGATACATCAGCAGCTACATGGCTCTATTGTGTGCTAAATTCTTTAAATTGATAAAGCATCTTAAATTCCTATTCATCTGGGATGAATATATGGCTCGTAGAAAGAATAGTTAGGAAATGCCAAATGTATTATATACATCCCAGCACGTACAAAAGAGTGCACGAAATCATTCTGGAAGAAATGAATTTTATCCCTAGACTACTTCGATTTGCTCGTAACAGCAGTCAACATTTATATATTTTTGCAAATATTAATTTAGGCAGAAATAATAGAAGGTTGTGCGGAGTTTTGTAAACTTTATAGTGCTTTTGAAGTCGTTTATAGTTACTGAAGTTAAATGCGAGACTTTTGAAATGGATTGGTCTTGGTGGGTTATCCGCTTGCGTTGGTTATTAAATTCCTCTAAAAAAAGAATATTTTAATACATAAAACCATAGTACTCTATTTTAGACCTACAATGCCATACGCGAATCAATCGATTGCTACTGTAACGTCTTACAATGACGAGGTTTTTAAATTCACTCTTGAGGACACAGATTTAAGCGTGGCTAATGCCATCCGGCGTGTGTGTATTGCTGAGGTACCCACCCTTGCTATCGACTGGGTGCAGCTGGAGGAGAACAATACTATGCTCAATGATGAGTTCATCGCTCAGCGAATCGGCCTAATTCCCCTCACTTCGGATGACGTGGTTGACAAAATGTCATACTTTCGCGAGTGCACCTGCCGTGATTTCTGCAAAGAATGTTCGGTGGAGTTGACTCTCGATGTTAGCTGCACTGATGACACGCCTCGTCATGTTACTGGTGCAGATTTAATCACCAGCAATCCCGATGTTCGTCCTGTGCCCTGCCGTGATGAAAGTAATGAATCCGCGCTTTATGCTGGACAGCAGGTAGGTAAAAGTCTTGGGTCGTTGATTTACCTAAGTTTTTTTACTTCTAACTGACTTTTCTGCATTGTGTAGTTATGAAAAGTTATGCATATTTTTGGCTTATAATGACAGTCTCAATCTTCTTGCGACTCATACACCTCTGTAAATGACTTATAGGTGGGTAGTCAGTTATTGAATCTGTTTGGTTCGGAAAGTGCTTGGTTTTATGGGGATGGGTAAATAAATGCAATTAGTATAGGTAGTCGGTTGGACATAAAACAGAATCGTACCTTTTATGCATCGCATTATTTATAAATACAACCTATTAAACACATTATAAGGCATTTTATCGTTTGGGATATTTATTTAAACACCATGAGACCGATGGTTCTTCAGCTTTGGTGCAGGTTCCGGCTACTTAAGCAAAGCTTCACGTGCTATTTCTAGGAGTCCATTCTCATCGTGAAGATGCGTAAGGGTCAGCGGCTGAAATTGCGTGCCTTTGCAAAGAAGGGTTTTGGCAAGGAACACGCCAAATGGAACCCCACAGCAGGCGTGGGCTTTGAGTACGATCCTGACAATGCTTTACGCCACACCTTCCTTCAGAAACCTGAGGACTGGCCGCGTTCTGAGTATTCTCAATTGCCTAAGGATTCGGACCAATCGCAGGCGCCTTACGACCCCTTCGGCAAGGCAAGTCTACGCCTTAATGCAATTTTATATAAACTTATCATTTTCCTCTTTTATATTTTATCCGGAATCGTTTCAAGTTTCACTGTTTAAATCCGTGTTTATCTGTTTACTTTGAAATATAATTCTGTCTGTTTCATTTAACCTTCAATTTTCCACGCTCTTTCCTTCTTCTTGATCTTTACTCCTTAACATTAATTCTGAGCTCAACGCTTACGCTTTGTATAACATGTCGTTATCGGGTTCTCCACTTTGTCATGGCCTGCTCCCGCTATCTACGGGTGATCTGGTTTTAGTTTTAAGGTCTACAGATTCCTGCCTAACTGCGCTGGTAAGGCCTATCATTTTTTGTCTCCACCATTGACTTTTCCCGTTTGCTTCATGACTTATCTGTGAAGTCAAATATTCGTATTGCTCCTGGCATTCTTGGACCACTAGCAGTGATCTTTGGTACTCTTTTGTCCAGAACTTAATGTGCCCAAACGCACTAATGGGATACAATGAATTTGAGTTGCAACCCTTACCTTTTATTCCTAAAATCACCGTTTATATGAAACTTTGAGGATTCGAAATCAGGGTAGTTCTTGTGCACTTTTTTAACTACCGCTCTCAAAATTTAGTGATATTTTGTTGTTGAAAGGGTACTTGGGTGATTGAGGAGCTGTTGAGGGCTTCAAGATACACTCATTAGGTTTCCAAATCGATGCAAAAGGACGTCAAAAAATGACTTTAATTGTTTCAGTCGCTTGTTATCTAGTCTATTGTTTACCTTATTTTGAGGGGAAACTTGGTTATCTTGGGTAAGGGATTGGGTTAAAGGATTGATATTGTAAGGTTTCAGAGTTTTTATTGAACATTTTCTAGCCATCCAAGTTCTTCTTTACGATCGAGTCGTGCGGTTCACTGAAGGCAAAGAATATTGTATTCTCGGCATTGCGAGTTTTGAAAGAGAAGTTGACAACGCTACACGAAAACCTTCCACCTGAATGATGTACCAACTCTAAGACCGCTTGCTCCCATGCCTCTGTATATGTACATGCATACATTTGCCTTGCAAGCATATTACCTCCTTCCCCCCTTGTAAATGTTGGTTAGCCTTTTCGCGTGTTTCACGAAAAATTCAACCACTATAACGTTCCAGTTTGAGGGTTTTATCTGGCAGGCGACGAAACAGTGTTAAATTTCCCAATAAAAAATTTCATTCCAATGTAGCATCAGGATAATTTCAGAGACTGTGGTATAGTACCGACGAGCTATGGAGAGTCGGGCTTTCATTGATGTACATGAGTCGGAAGGCGGGACGAAGGGGTCGAATCCATGAGAAAAATCGGTATAATCAGTGCGCTGCTAGAATAACATTAACTAATCCTCTCGTGGAAGCAGTGACAATGATATTACTAATATAGGTCATTCTGCAAGTGAACCCAATCGCAGACACTTGCCCAAAGGTCGAAAAATGGAATGCTACTTTACAAGCCTTCGCTAATGAAGGTGGAACACTGGGCGACAAGAAATGGCATCTAACCGGAGCACTGCGAGAGGCCTTTTCATAAAAGAGATTTATGTCGATATTTCATGAAGGTATTTCGTAGTCAAACTCAGAATCACACGATCCAAATGTTTTAGCTGCCCTTGATGTTTATGAGTACGCATAGCTTTCGACCTATTCAATTCCTCTCAAGGTCATCGGATTTAGAAATTTTGTTTGGCTAAAAAATTATTAACCAACTTAGCACCCTATATTACAAAGAAATGACGCTTTTATTATTGGAGCATTGATCTCGCGAATTAAGCTCTGTATTTTTCCAGTGGATATATCTGCTATGCATCAATAATCAAATTTACGAGAGAACATAACGCAGCTAATGTCTAGACAGCCCCAGTACCATCTTTGCCCAAATCCCTATCTGACGATTCCTCAGGAGATTTTATTTATACACATTTTGTTATGACACTCAACCTCGTGGAAACAGACACACGAACATGAAAGGCTTCAAACTTTCCCATCCAACCACGAGAAGTTACCTCTTCCTCCGTTCACGACTTTCTGAGTAGTTTACACCGGTACCACACTCTCGACCCCACTCAAACGTAATAGAGCTTATTTTGAGTGATCCGGAAAACTCGACGACCTATAACAGACACATACAGCCGTCCTTCACCACCAACTTTTAAGTGATCGGAACAGAGTACTATTTCCGACACTTTGATCAGTTGATAAGGTAATCTGATAACCAATCCCATTCCTCATACACCTCTCTGGTACCGGACGCTAAAAACGAGGAGGAATGTGAATCTGTGAGGAGAGAAAACTGGTCAGAGAAGCAGACGATTGCAGAATACAAGCCTGTCTTCACTTGCACGCATACACGATAGTCATTCAGTTGGTCAGGTGGATAGTCAAAGCCCTCCTCTGTCTATGCGTTGCAGGAGAAAGGAAATCACGCATTGGAGGCTGAATAAATGATGGTTATGTTGGTGAAGGCCAAGTGTGTTTGTGTGACGGTGTAGTTGAGAGGTGGGAAGTAAAGGAGGAACCGGGATTGTTGACAGAAGGGCAGACGCGTGGATTGGGCCAGTGATTAGGTGGCACGTAATCGCAAATGCACATCGCCTAATTGCGTCCTGGTGATTGTTGCACCATCGGTATTCAAGTAGAACTGATGGTCGCAGTCAAGTTACACGCATTGATGGTTATGCTCATGATAGAGATGGTATTTAAGGGAGAGATGGGGAATGGAAGCAGAATGGAGGATGTGGTAAGGGGGAGAAAAGTCACTTCGAGATCGGAGGATAGAAAAGGGGGCAGTTAGACAGCTGAAACAAGCCGACGGCGAAAGCACTTCGAGTGTGAGGGAGAGGAGAAAGAGAGGAAAGGGGGAAGGCAACAATATCCCTCCTTTCGTCCTTCCCTTCACCAGTGGATACCACTCAAGGTCATCATTGAAACCTGTGGCGATCCGGATCGGGTGTTGGAGAAGAAGACCTAAATTAAATCGGGATGAATGAGCAAAAAATGAAGTGGAGACAGATGGAATTGTGGCCATGTAAGGAGAAAGTGATCGCTCGATTAAGGCAATCGAACCCACCTTGTCGTTACGCTCGCAGAGGAATTTGAAACGCTGCTCACGCTTGTGCATGAAGACACCATCAAGGTGGCCGGTCTCCGCAGAGCGCACCTCGATGGCGCGCAGACCCCAACCCAGCAACTGGCCCGAGGATGGTATGTAGGCCACGGAGGTGGGAGACTCACCCCACTGAATTACCACGTTCTTCGTCATTTTCCCACTTGTGTCCACGTACACGCCCTCCGCTGCAACATCAGTGACGTTAGTCTGACAGTGGATTAGCAGAACGGCTGAGAGATCGACTGCAACTTAGGCTATCCGTGGTACTCGTCTAACCAGACCAACTACCGTAATGACTGATATAGACGGATTAGACGGGCGATTTAATGGAATGAAAGGAATTATTAAAGCATGGATAGGAGAATGGATGGACGCACGCAGAAGGAGCTGACCAATGCTGCCTCTAACCGCGTAAACGACAATGTGGGAGGATGGCCAAAGAAACGAACTTCAAATGAGTTAGTGGATGGATAGATAGATAAGATGTCAAAATGAATGAGCAGCTAGGAGGCTGTATGGCTAACCCCAGGGGTGAGTGGAACAGGGGAGGAAAGATAAGGGGAACCATCCTGCTATGCAAAATGGCCACCTACGTTTTGATAATACCCCAATGAGCGATGGGACAGCTACTTCATCATGGGAACAAACAGCAACATGTGAATGAACTGATGGACGGATCAGTAGAAGTATTACATGACTAAATGAATGGATGAATGACTGAGGCGATTTGCAGACGCAATGAAAAGGGATAAACAGGAAGGGAATAAAAAGTAGGCGCTTCTAGGACCGATGAAATAATGTTATTAATCTTAAGAATAAACAAAAAAGCAATTTTAGTGATTCATTAAGGTTAGTAAGAAAAGGCAGAATAAGCTCATTAACGCATGATGAATAAACTTGGAAGCACTCACTGTCATAGCAGAGCAAAAGCTGCAGTCCATCAGTATTCGGCAGAACGACTATACAATGGGGAGTGATGGTTCCACGATTGGGCTGAAGCAGAGAAAAGTCGGGTACCTTGTTATAAATAACTTTGATCATCAGCCTTCCACGGTTTTATGATGGTAGACCAATGAGGAAAGGTAGGTCGGATTTCATTTCAGGACAAGAATTCGATGTTAAATTTCGCCTTGTGATTGGTGGCCCCAACTTCAACGTCCTTCTGATTCGCCAATTTCTTCGCCAGTTAAATTTAAGAATGAGAAAAACAAAGTTCAAACGAGGCATTCGCTGACATTTTTACCAATCGTCTGAAGATACGCTGGCATTCAAACATGGCAATTAGCAGTTGCTCTGGGCTCTATTTAAGGAATTCAAGTGATGCTGGAGAAGAAACAATGTATGACTAACTGAAATCCCATCAACTGAGGTGGAGGAATGGCAGACGATTTGCGTCGAATTAATACACCACTCTCTCATTTCCTCTCTTCCCTGCTTGTAAATCGCTCACATACACACACATGGTGAGTCACGATGTCATAGGGGGCAGGAGGTACGGACAAATTTGTCGCCTAAGCTGCAACAGCCGAGCAAACGAACGCACAAATGTCAAACCATGTGGACCGGGAGGGGACAAGTTCAACAGGACTGAAGATTGCCCTAGAGAAAGGTCATCGTCCAATTGCTAATGAAATAAGGAGAATTAGTTTCACCAAGTTGTCAAACATATACCGATAGTCAACAGGTTGGGACGACTGCTGTAAAGGCCATTGGAAACCCAATAATTTTGAAGACCTCGGTTGGGGAGGAAAGGGAAAGGAGCTGAGTGCTCAACTGAAAGTGCTCCGAGTGAGTAAAATGAAGTAAGATAAATCTGGATGCTACAAGAAAGTGGCCAACGAGAGGAATAGATGAGTCTAGAGAGGAACTAAGATTCCCGCCACATAGAAAGAAGACCTAAACTCAGTGGAAGTGCACAGCTGCTTTACGTGCTGTTCGAGAATGCAAACTAGTTTTAACTACATGAGACCTTCAGCAAGGCCACAGATGGGAAAAAACAAATCAACAAGGCAGTAAAGAGATGAAAAACGGAGACACAAACCTTGGGACAGAGGTAGAGGTCAAAGACGGTGTTGGTATCGAGGTCGATGGCATGGAAGCCCGCCTCAGAGCCGTAGATGACTTTGAGCCGTTGATTCTCCTCCACTGTCAAATCCACGAGCAGAGGACGAAAGTGCAACGAGGAGAAGAGCTGGTCGCCAAAAGGACAGCGAATAAATGCAAGAATCGCAAGATATTCAAATAAGCACTGATTGCATGGATCACCAAACAGTAATGATAAGTTTCGCATCAATTAATTCCTGAAATCTCTCGTGAACACAGTAAAAAGAAACGCCCGTCAAAACGATTACATTCCTGCAGGATGAAAGTTTAAACCAATGTTCGTTGGAAAGCTATTTAAAGATAATTATGTGAGATAATTGAGTCCATACTAACACCTCCGATTCACTCCAGCAGTTTGCATGACACGCTGGAAGCCTAGCAAACTTGGGCTCCCCATCTCGTCCTCGTGACTAAGGCCTGTGAGTATACAAACGCACAAAGCCTCTTAAAGTCAATTCGCCGGTAGAGTCATCCGCGAAGACCTGTAGCCACTTAAAGATGACGTTGCACAATGGGGGGAGACAAATAAATTAAGTCCACGCCCTGAGCGCACATTTCAACACACCCTCAAACAAGATTCCACAACACACACAGACGCGAAAGAATCCCAGAAGTCGTATCGAATGGCTACAACTCTACTGTGGAGCCAGCCGGCTTCAGCAAGGGAACATGGTTGAGTTGAGGCGCTGTCGAAAGCCGTGTAATGCGCCACTACCTTAACTGCAGAAGACATCAACAACAATGAGATCAATTTCCGCCTGTAAGTGGGTCTCAATGTACTCGAATACTGTTTGTCGCAATGGCTACCGTCATGAATGTCACATAGGCGGAGAATAAAACTAACCTTGAAAGCCATGAATTTGTGGTAAGGTCGAGGCGCCCACGCGTATATCTCCACGGAGTCACGAAGGGCGATGACAAGGAACTTGATGTTATCATACTTCACTGGAACACCAAGGTATCAAACACGACAGTCATGACACCAACCACGGAAGAAGAGGGAGGAGCAAGGAGAAAAATGAAGGATGACACACTTACCGATTTTGAAAGTGACCGCGCCGTGCAAATTCTCGCCCACATTTACCCAACCATTCTTCTTGTCACACTAAAAGATCGGATAAATTTACTGTGACGGTAAAGACAAAAAATTGGTGATAATGCAAAAGGAAGCAGTAGTAGCGGAAGAGGGACCACCTACACCCTCAGATTTCATGATTTTGCTCTTAAGCCATGAGAGATAGTAGACCCGGAGGCGGTTCTTGCGACCCGAGATAGTCACCAGGATATTTTGACCCTCTAGTACAGCCATCTGCGAGAAGCGTCGTCGACTGATCAGCGAATAGACTAGGCGAATGAGAAAGTACCGATGAAATAGTAGAGAGAAAATGCAAAACCCCTCCCAGTTGCTAGTGTCATGCTTCCCCTTGATAGGACCACACAGGATCTCCAACTGGGATTGTCCACACCCGAACACAGGTGGGATACGTCAGTGAAAGTGTATTCTGTTACATGACCAAGAAGTAATGGTGAAGACGAAGGATACGAGCTCCGACATGTTGCTGAGACGCTAAAAAATACCTTCAGAAGATTCCGAACCCATCGTAGGCAGAAAGGAAGGTCTCAGCGTGGACGGTTTAAAGGCTCCATTTGGGAGGAAGAAGAGCTTGGAGACAATAAATATACAGGCGCCTTCACGAAGAAGGAAAGTTCGTTCCCTACTCCGAATATAAAGTGAGACAAAGCAAAGACGTTGCAGTGAAGGAGTGGCGTTAATGAGCGCATAACATTTCCATCTCATTAACTTCCTCTTGCTCCTCCACTTCCTCCTAATCAACCCACCCGTTGGTCGGTACATGTGCCTGTGGATGCGTTCGAAATTTCCCCATCCCTGATGACGCGGACGGAGGGCCGAGTAAATTATTCGAACGTGGGTGACTTGACAACAATGCTAGATGAAGTGTTAGGCTGTGTTCAAAACTATCAATCCGGAGCAGTGACCGATCCAACTACCACCATTTGTGACACCTTTAAAACTGTGAATCCAA